AAAAAAAATTCAAAAATTCAAAAATGCCCATCTTGGACCAGCTGGATGGCTCAGCGGGCAAATGCACTTCTTATGCAATCCTGGCAACCCAGGTTTCATCCCCAGGATCCATGCAAGGTGGAAGGAGAGAACAGACTCCATAAAATTGCCCTCTGACCTTCACACACTTGCTGTGGCACACCTGCCCACACACATACCATGCACACACAATAGTAATAAAAATGAATAAAATACAGATCTGATCCAGACACACCTTTACTGACAGCTCTTAAAGGTTTATTTTTTTAATTTTATGCGTATGTGTGTGTGTGTAAGCCACGTGTATAGGTCAGAGGCTATAAGAGGGCATCGAATTCCTGGGAACTGGAATCCCTGTAGCTTTGAGCTGCCTTGTGGGTGTTGGGAATCTGAATTTGGTCCTCTGAGGTCTCTCCAGCTCCTCTTTTTTCCTTTTCTTTCAGCATTAATTCGTCTCTTGTTTTTGCACTGGCTGCTCTTACTAACAACCCACGTCCTTGAGGCTGCCGCGGGAGCTCAGGATGGCCTGGCCTTTGTCACGACGACGTTCATGGAAGAATGCTCTCTTTGTTCCAGCTCTATGAAACTATGCTCTGATGCTGAACACACCACCCGCCACTGGTGTTCTTTCTGTGCTAGGATCTCTTTCTCCAAGGAACTCCTGCTTCATCTCTGTGTCCAAATTAAAACGTCACTCTTGCTGGAAAAGCTTTCCCGATCCCACCTCTGCCCCATGTTCCCCCGGTCCTCTCTTACAGCATGGATCACTTACCTCTGTATTTTATTGTGTGTTTACACAGTCTGCCACATGTCAAGGGCATCCTCATCTATGGGTACTTTAAAATGATTTTATTTTTGTTTATTTTAAAATGATTTTATTTGTTTGTTTGTTTTTACAACCCAACCATATTTAACCAGGGTTTTATGAAGCTCAGGTTGACCTCTGGCTAGAATGACTTTGAACTTCTGATTCTCCTGCCTCTACTTCCCAGTGCTCAGATGGCAGGCTTATAATACCATGCCCAATTTCTATAGTGCTGGAAATTGCACCCAGGGCTTTGTGTACGCTGGGCTAGTACTATTAACTGAACTACATCCCCAGCCTTGAACAACTTTTAAAAAAAAAAAAAAAGATATATTTTATTTAAAAAATTATGTATATGTGTGTGTCTGGGGTGGGGGTGGGGTGTGTCATGTGAGTGCAGGTGCCTGTGGGGTCCAGAAGAGGGTGTGGCATCCTCTAGAGTGGGAGTTATAGACAGTGGTGAAGGGTCTGATGTGGGTGCTGGGATCCAAACTCAGGTCCTCTGGAAAAGGAGAATGTTCTTAATCATTGAGCTATCTCTCCAACCCTCGGACTGCTCTTTAAGATCCTCACCTCTGAACTACATCTCTGCAGTGAATATAGTTCTGAAGTTTCATTCTAGCACATTCCATCTCTCCTACATTACCTTCCCATTTACTACAATGAATTTCTTCCTCTTAATCCATCTCAGGCTCCAAACATTCATCCCTGTTCACTACAGATCTTGCTGTCTTTGTATATGACACTATCAGCTGCCAGCACTTAACTACGGACAAGACCCATCACTAGTCCCGCCGAAAATCTCATTTAATGCCAGCAACAGTGAGGTATCTAAAATCAGCCCCACTTCGCAGAGGAGAAAAACAAGTTCAGAGAGGGTAAATGATGTGATGAAGGCCACACAGATAATATGTGGCATGCAACCACTTGAGCCCAGGCTTGCGATTCTAGCATCTGTGTTGTTAACTACATTGTCATTCCAGGTTTATGTCTTTTTTGGGGAGGAAGGGGGATGTTCATCTGATTCATTGAAAAAGAATTCCATTTGTTTACAAAGAACCAGAGGGAGAGAGACATCTGTGGACAGTCATGAGTAGTCAGAGGAAAAGCCAGTCACCCTGTCGGTGGGGGTGGGGGATGGGACTCCTTTCAGTTAGGAGAGGAACACCTCCCCCAGCACCAGTCTGAAGGAATCTACCTCAATTGGCTGAAGTTGGAGGGGCCTCTGCCTCCCTCCTTTTAGACCAATTAGCTGCCTGTAAGCTGGTGACCTTCCAGGGAAGGTGGCCCAGAAACTAAGAGAGAGGGGAACACAAAGACCCCCAAGTCCAGCCACCATCTCTTTGGGGTAGAATGTCACTTCAAGCTGAGCCGGGACTTCAACCAGTCCTGCCATGGTCTGTGTCTGGGCAGAGCAAAGACTCTGAGGCTGGGGTGACTGCCCCGAGATGCAGGGAGACACGCTGGTGTGGAGGCTGGGAAGCAGGAGGAAACGGGAAATTGTGATGTGATTGGGGTAGAGGTGGAGACTGGTGGTGTATGTGGTCCACGGGTCCTCCAGAGCCCCCAGCACCACTTCCGAAGGGCAGCGCTATCGGACGGTGCTTCATTTCCTCCCAAGTCCAGTTTTTGCCCTTGGGATTAACTCTCCCCACCTTGGACCAAACACCTGTAAAATGTAGACACACAGGGCTGCTCGGCATATTTACTTTTTCTGAGTTCAAGCAGAGAGTTGGGGGGGCAGTGTTAGTAGCATGCATCCTGCTTTGGGTGGAGGATCAGAAGTGGGGTTTGGGTGTAGGGAGCAGAAGAGTGGGGGGGCACATATGTGGAGGAACAGAACGAGCTGGAAGGAAGGATAAGAAGAGCAGTGGCTGCCGTGAATGGGGACCCGTTTCCCTCAGCCCCTGTGTGTTGGATCTTTTCTTTTGAGTTCAGAGACTCTCTTGAGACAGCTTGGGTCCGAGGTTAGAAGGGCCTGAAGTCACAGATGGAAGCGGTTTGCTCCGGCCAGCAGAGCCAGGTTCTGGTGGGAGTAGCTCAGGCCTCCTCAGCTGTGGCATCGATGCCCGCGTAGGTGAAGTTCTCAAACAGGGACATGTTCACGTAAGCCTGTGGGAAGAACAAGCCTCAGTGGAGCAGAAGCAGGAAGAACTCCGTGAGTTCAAGGTTAGCCTGGTCAATCCAACAAGCTCCAGGACAACCAAGGCTACTGAAACACTGTCAAAAAAAAAAAATCACTGATTTATCACTCATAAGGCTGTTGTTGATTTGATCATTTGTATATATGATTAGTTGATTCTTTCTTCTCCTTTTCTTTCTCCTTCCTTCCCTTTGCCTCTTCTCTTCCCCTCTGCTCCCCATAAACCCTTCCCTTCCCTGCTTTTGAGACAGTCTAAGCCAGGCTGTCCTTGAACTCACTTTGTAGGAAAGGACGACCTTGAATTTGAACTTCCAATCTTGCTTCTGTGCTGAGATTACAGGTATGTGCCACCATGTCCTACCCAGGGCCTCGAGCTTGATAAGCAAGCACTAGCAACTGAGCTACACCCTAGGCCATATTTGTTTTGTTTTTGAGATAAGGTCTCTCTATGTGGCCCTGGCTGTCTTGGGACTTGCTCTGTAGACCAGGCTGGCCTCAAACTCACAGAGATCCGCCTGGCTCTGCTGGGATTAAAGGCTTGCGCCACCGCCGCCGCCGCCGCCGCCGCCACCGCCACCACCACCTAGCTTCAACTCATTATTTTCATAGGCAGGTGGTGGTGGTGGTGACACTTTTAATCCCAGCACTAGGGAGGCAGAGGCAAGAGGATCTCTGAGTTCAAGGCCAGTCTGGTCCACAGAACTAGTTCACAAAGAAACCCTGTCTTGAAACACACAAACAAACAAACCCCACCCAAAAACCTGTTTTCATATTTACACATTTTGCTGTATTTCTTCTTTCATTTTTATTTGGTAATTCATCTATTCACAGATTCAGTGATTGGATTGTGTTTATTCATATGATTATGCACTACTCACTAATTACATTTATTTATTCAGCCCTTCCTATATCATTCAGCCACCTCTCCATTTTGGGTGACCCTTCATGCATTTTCTCTGGCCCTGGACCGGGTGGGAAGAGGGGTCCCAGGAGGGAATGGGTTGATGGCTTGGAGGAAGACAGACTAGCTGTCTGGAATTTAGGGGAGGGATTTGCTGTTGAGACTAAGCAATGAAAGCTTTGGAAAGAGTGCATATGGGCCTAGTGTCTAAACTCTGCATGGGCTGAATCCTAAATCCAACCCAACTGTGGTGACAGCCTCAGCTGAGGGAATTTGGGTCATGTGTGAGGGTGAGAGACACAGTGGCCTCATATGTGGCATCTATGAGATGGTGCTCCTGTGAACTTGGGGGTGCCCATCCCCCCTTGTCCAACCTCTTACCTTCCTGGCTTCTAGCATTCGGCCCAACTGTAGCGCGATCTGGGCAAAGGGGGGGCGCTCATAAGGTCGATCCCGCCAGCACTGCCTCATCAGCTCGTACCTGTAGATGGGAGTGGGGGTGCTCTAGGGTGAGGGACTGTCGGGGGCCGGGGCCACTCATCTCAGAGTTGAGTTCGCAGAGCTCAGGGGGTAGGGAACTCACACTTCATCATCACAGTTTCGAGGCTGCTCCATGCGATAGCCCTGGGGCAACTTCTCGTAGAGTTCAGCACAGGTCATGCCACAGTAGGGCGTGCCTCCTGCAGAGGGTACAAGACTCCCTCAGTCCAGGGCCCCACGGTAAGGTGGGATGCTCTGGAGAACAGGGTGTCAGCTTACCAAGGCTCACTATCTCCCAGAGGAGGACCCCGAAGGACCAGCTGAAATGAGAAAGATGGACATAATCACTTGTGGGAGACACATAGTTTAATCTCTATGTAACCAAGCTGTGTCACCATACCAGGTCCTGCATGTGTCTTCTCTGCTGGCATCTGGCTTTGGCCAGCTACTGTCCCTATTCCAGGGAAGGGCTTTCATAGGCCCTGATCCCCAGACTCAACTAATTAGAGTAACATTTTGTCTCTCTCTCTCTCTCTCTCTCTCTCTCTCTCTCTCTCTCTCTCTCTCTCTGTGTGTGTGTGTGTGAGTGTATGTAGTGTGTGATGTGTGTGTTCACAGGTGGACACTGGGCCTCTTTAATTGATCTCCACCTTAGTCTTTGGATGGTTTCCTCTCACTGAACCTGGAGTTTGCTGATTCTGATAGACTGGCCAGCAAGCCCCAGGAATCCTCCTGCCTCTGCCTCCCCAGTGCCGGGATTGCAGTACACGCTACCTGCAGTCCCGTTTTCTTACCCCCTCCCCCCCATGTGAGTGCCGAGAACCTCAACTTCGGTCATCGTGTTTACACATCAGGCACTTGACCAGCTCAGCCAGCTCCACAGTCCTTACGGCTAACATTTTAAAGATTCTTTCTTTCTTCTTCTTCTTCTTTTTTTTTTTTTTTAATGATTTTTAGATTTAGTTTTGTGAATGAAGGTCTTGCCTGTGTGTATGTATATGCACAATACGTACGTCCCTGGTACACACAGGATTCAGAAGAGGTTGTTGGGTCCATTGGAATTTGAGTTACAGATGGTTGTGAGCCACCATGTGGGTGCTGGGAACTGAACCTCGGTCCTCTGCAAGAGAAACAAGTGCTCTTACACTGAGTCATCTCTCCAGCTCCAAACTGAGAATATTTTTAACTGACATTTTTATTGAGCACTAACTATGGTCTGAGTACTGATTAATTAACATACATGCCAATTATGGAACTCACGACAGCCCTGTGATTCAGGCTTTACTATCCTCATTTTACAGATGAAAACACTGAGGTCTGAACAGGATCTGAATCCTGACTCTAAAGTCCTCATTCTTTGGTGCATCTTGCCTGGTGAGAAGCTCTGTGCAGGTGCATGGCAGGCCTAAGCCAGGGCAGGGAGTCCTAGTGTGGAGAACTCTAGAGAGTCTTGGGGCAGAAGCAGGAAGTAGGTAGTGGTCAGAGGGGCAGTCGGTGAGGTCAGGTCAGTCCAAAGGGCTCAGGGCCAGGACAGAGCCGCTCAGAAGATAGGGCTGAAAGGTCAGCGGGTCAGGTTCAGACTGAGATGTACATACCTGGAGATAGGGGATGTGAGCCAAGATGGTCATGGTGTGTAGGAAGTGTGCCAAGATGGTCATGGTGTGTGCACGTGCGTGCCTGTGTGCATGTGTGTACCTATGTGCATCTCTCTCTCTCTCTCTCTCTCTCTCTCTCTCTCTGTGTGTGTGTGTGTGTGTGTGGCACAGAGGGTCTGAAGGGTCATGTACTGGTAAGAGCCTCAGGTGGCCCTGATCTTACCCTTCAGACAGAAAGGTGGGCATGCTCCTTGAGTATTGAAGCCTATGAAGGCCCAGCCCCTCGATAGCTTTCCCCAGAGTTCCAGAAGAGATGCTACCAGTGGCAAATAAATCTGAGGGATACTCTAGTCAATCTATACACACGAAACTCCTTAGTCCATACACTTTATTCTTCTGAGTCAGTTCTCTCTTTACAAGCTTCTATTCTGCTCTCATGCCTAGTTCCTTTCTTGCCTAATTTCTCTCTACATTTATCTGCTGTCCCCTCTAAGTTGTATCTTAATTCTCTCATGTTAGTTCCGCCCCATCTAGGTTCTCATCCATCTGGTTCTTTCCCATCTTAGCTCCTCTCCCATCTCCTTCTTTCTCATCTTGTTCTTCCCCATCTGTCTCTTCCTCGTCTTTCATCTCATTCTTCTAGTACTCTCTTCTAGCCCTTCAATCTAGTTCTTCCCCATCTCAGTTCATTACCCTCCAGTTCTTACCCATCTAATTCTTCCATTCTCTTTTCTCTTCTCCGTCTTGTCCTATACTCTCTGAGGTTTACAGTTATATACCCGTGCAATAGCAATGTTCTGGCAAGACAAGTCACCAGGCTTGAATTCCCTCAGAGTCAAAAGGAGAGGCAATAAGATCCACACAAAACAGCAGTAATTGCCAGCCATCATCTGCAACCCAAAAGGGAAGTGACTAATGGGGAATAGAATCAACTGAGGACTAAATTCGGTTAATATCTGAGCAAAGGGGATTTTATGTGCTCAACTATATTCTTAGACGTGGTTAAAGTGTTAGGAGTCTATCAGTGACGAGTGAAAATAAAACTGCCTTATTTTCCTTTGGCCCCTTATCTGTCCAAGCAGCCTGAGTCAGCTTGATGTACCTGTTAAGTAGAAATCCTTTAGTTCTGAGTTAATAGTTAAAGATAGATCTAAAACTAGAGATAAGACTTTGGAAAGGGTAAAGTTAAGCTTAATTAGCACATCCGCCAGGCCTTCTCAAACAGATAGTCTGGATGTTTAAGTGTGTTCTTAGAGAGCACAGAGGTATCTCTGATTATCTTATCAGATAAAAGTATCTTCTTTCATCTGTCTGGGGATGGTCCTGACCGGATGCTGCCAATGACGATAATTACAGGGAGGCTTGAATTGGGGTTCTGGCTGTGTATAGCTGTCAGCGCAGAAGGTTATCTAAATATTCCACTAGTAGAGGGGAAATGGTGCCCAATGAATGATGGAAAAGCTACAAGAGCACACGAGAAATTCATAGCAGGAAACCAAGACTCCTTAAGCCTCAGCTTTACCTCTGGAAAGACTTTTGGCTTCTTCCAGGTATGAGCTTGTCATAATCAGCTGATATCCTACTTCATGTATTTCTGCAGCCTATAGTACTTGAGTGTTCTCTCTTGCTACCCTAGTGACTACCCAGTTTTTCTGGATCTCATTGAAGAATTCCTTGATCTCTTATGCAAAGAAAATCCTAAACACTCCCTAACCCAGTCTTACCACTAAAGTCACTTCCAAGATCAAAATCCTTCCAGGCATTAGGAAGCCTCCTAGCTTCCCTCTAAGATGTAGAAACTTCTAGAGCATTCTCAGAACTCACTGTTGCACACCTGGATTCTACCTGTTGATACCCACGTCATGCCTTCAATAACCCAAGACACTGCTGCGGTGTATCTAGGCTATGCCTGAGTATTCTCGGGGGCCAAGTCCTCTGCCCCTTCCCACCTCTCCCCACACTCACACATCACTCTTGGTGGTGTAGACACTGTAGTTGAGAGACTCAATGGCCATCCAACGCACAGGGAGACGGCCCTGGGAAGTAAAGGGTCAGAGGGCCAGGATGGAAGAAAAGGATATTTGAGGGGCTTGCGGGGGGAGGTCCGGGCATGGGTCCTAAGTGGGAAAGGCTGAATGAGACTTACCATCGTCTTCTTCACATATACTTCCTCCCCCCGAGAAAGGCCAAAGTCTGCGATCTTGGAGGCCAGGTTCTCTCCAACCAGCACATTTCGGGCAGCCAGGTCCCTGTGGATGAACTGCAGGCAATGTCAGAAGTCAGGGAAGAGAGGGATGGGGCCCAGGAGCATGGGGCCGGTTGGAGCTCCTGTGTCTTCCTACCCACATATCCCTTAGCTGACCAGCTGACCAGGGATCAGAGGAAAGTCAGTACTGGTTCTCATGCATCCCTTCCGGACTTGGGCCACAGTCAAGTGCAGCTAGTGTCCCTCTTTCTGGTACAGGGGTGATTGACTTACTGCCCTCTCCTCCATCCCCTCCCTCTCCTCCTGTTCTTCTTTTTCTCTTCTTCCACCCCTTCCCCTCATCTGTTGAAACAGAGTCTTGCTATGTGATCTTGGCTGGTCTGGTACTTATTAATTATGTAGCCCATAATATCTCCCACCTCTGTCTTCCAAGAACTAGGATCCCAGGCATTACCTCATCCTACCTCTCCTCTTTCAATGTCTTCTGTCCCATTTCCCCCACTGTCTTGTCCCCTCTCCCTTACTGCTCAAAGTCCATAAGTGACCTCCATGTTCCAGGTTCTCACCTTAGCCCTACATCCTCCTCAGACGTGTTTTCCATCAGCTTCTCCCTGATGCCCCTCTCCTTTCAAAGACTCAAGATTTTGCTGCCTGTACAATGCCTCCGCTCAGGCTGGAGTGGCCCCTCTGGCAGTTGTCCCCTCTCTCATCCCATTTGGGAGCCCACCCCACCCTCTTCAGTGGCTCTCCACCCCCTCCCTGCTGGAGTGGGCGCTGAAATGGCAGCCCCGACACTGTCCAGCCCGGGCCTGTCTCTTGGGTGCTAGTTTGGTATCTACAACTTGCCCACTCAACACCTCCACCCAGAATGTCTCTCAGGGACTCCAAATCCAGCACCTTCTCCCTATATGCCTCCTGTCCTCTCCTCCATCCATGTAACGTTTACAATCACTCAGCACCAGGGCCTGAGCCTAGGCCTGTGTCCTTCCTTCTCACTGTTCATACTTCCCATACCCAATTAGAACCTGCTGATTGACCACCTGACCGGGCTGCTCAGTGGCCTCCTCTCTCCCTACTGTGGCCCACCTCACTCACTCACTCACTCACACACACCTGCTTCTCACTCAGGTACTGCATGCCATTGGCTGCATCGCTGGCGAAACGCAGCAGCTGCCGGGAGCTGAGGGTGGAGGCTGTTCCATGCTCTCGAGCAAATGCTGGATCAGTCTCCAGGACCCTGCTCTTCCTCAGGAAATCTAGCAGGTTTCCATAGGGGGCATATTCGATAGCAATATATAAGTAACCTGGGAGGTAAGGAGACACATGGTGATGGTTTAGGTACAGGTCATGTGTTGTTATGAGCATCGCCCGATTGTAAGAGGCAGTCTGCAGCATGCTGGAAAATCCCGTGATGAGCACGGAACCTAGGGATCCCCACAAGCTACTAGTGTGGTACAGGTGATGGCTGATGACAGAGGTCTGGAAGGAATAGGCCATGAACTAGGGGCTCACCTCGGTTCTCACAGGCCCCCAAGAGGTTGATGATATTAGGGTGGTGCCCTAGTTTGCACAGAACTTCGAGTTCGCCTGCAAAGTCTCGATGGTCATTTTCAGAAGCATACTCTGTGTAAAGAAATCAGTGTCAATTTTTGCCATGGATAACTCTGGGAGGGCATGAGTTGCTGGTGGGAGCTAAGGTAGAGCCTGATGTTTGTGGGATAAAGGAAGAGAAAGAGGCTGGGGTCTGGAGTCACGTCCGAGGACCTTTGAGCATCTTGATGGCGGCGTTCATCTTGAGCCCGTCCTTCTTGATCATGGCCCGGATGACCTGGCCGAAGTTGCCCTCCCCGATGAGGTCCTCAAAGGTGATGTCCTCCCACTCCAGCACAGGGTAACTCAGGGGCTCAGGCTGTGGCTTTGGCCGCCGGGTCAATGTCAGGGTCCCTGAGCTGAACTGCAGGATGGTCTCTTCGCCCTTCACGGGATGGGATGAATAGCAGCCAGTCCACACAAGAGATGTGAGGACAAAAGGGGGATCAGAGAGGCATACAGAGAGAGGGTTCAACGGTTAGACAGATGGACAGAGCCAGACAGAGGGTGCCCTGGTGGTCAGCCTGGGCCGCACCTACAGAGATGGACAGTGCACAGAATCACAGGTGACAGAGTCACAGGTGGGTTCCAGGTCACAGGTGTCTAAGAAGAAAAATACAGAGGCATCAGCCTTGGGGTCTAGTATGTGGGCTTTGCTACAAGGTGGAACCCAGGGCTTGTGGGTAAGTTGCCAAATCATGGATAGGTCAAATGGACCAAAAACATTCTAATATTTAAATAGAGAATTGGAATGAGATGTAATGGGAAAAAGGAAGCTTCCCATTATTGTGCAAACCCTACAACTAGGCTTTATTTATTCATTTACTTATGCTATCTTGGGTGAATTTCTTGAGTGTTTATTACATGCTAAGCCCTGAGCTGTAGGGGGCGGGTAGACAGATTTTCTTCTTCATGGTAGAAGAAGCAGAGGCGATCTTTGTCCCTCCTCTTGGTGTCTAGACATAGTTCCAATGCCAAGCCAGGACTCAAGGACCATAACAAAGAGGACTGCCCAGCTCCCTCTACTAAGCAGGGCTGTGCTGGTCAGAGTCGATGACAGGAAAAGGCAGCCGCTGATCGGGAGTAAGGGACTGCAATATGAGAACCTGAAGCAAGGTCCAGGTGGACCATGCAGGCAGGGGATTTCCTAAGTGAATTGATGGCAAGCTTGCTAGGGAAGTGCTGGGGACACAGGTCACATGGGTTCACATGAAGCTTGTGCAGCTGAGGCATGCATCAGAATAAACATGTACGGTCTGTGGCTACATCATATGCGGGTGCATCCATTCAGACATACATGTACACGTGAGGACCTACAGGTGTACCAGCACAGGAACACATGCACATGTACATGGGATGCACAAGTGCACTACTACATGGCACACGCATGAGCATGAATGTCTGTGTGCAGGCACACACAGCAGACATCTATACTGATAAGTGTAATGATCACATGTACACTTAAGGCTGCGTTCTCACTGCCTGGCCTCGGCATCTGGCCCTGCTACCCTCTCCCCGCCTCCCACGGCAGTGATGGCTTTCTGTGCGCACTGACCTCAGAGGCAAGGTCAACACAGCTCAGACAAAGAAGCCAGTTGAATCTCTGGACTCTGATGGGATTTTTAAAGGCACCGCAGACACCAGTGTTGAACACTGGACTCTCTATACAAGAGTTAGCCCGAGAGAGAGAGAAGTGTTTCTTCCTTTCTTTTCTTTCTGCCATTCTTGGTGATGCTCTGAGTTTCTTTTAAACCACTCTAAATAGCAAGAGCCCACGCAGAAAGGGCCAAGGCTAGCGTTCTGATTCTGAGTGGGACAGCAGTGGGAAGTTCTCAGAGGGGGTGGGACCACCAGGATGGGTGGACATGACAAGATAGGGTGAGATGCCGGCAGCCCTCCCCATCCCACGTCTGTACCGGCGCGAGGGCCAGAGGGCATGGCCTGTAAGAGGACTAACAACCCAGGAGTGTTTGAAGAGTGAGCCTCTCTCCTCCAGAAGCGCAGGTGAGGCTGAGGCTGCAGGCCTGGCACACTTCTGGAGGGTCAAAGGCTAGCTATGTGAAGGGCATGGCCACACATCGCTGCCCTTCAGGGGGTCTGGAGAAGCACGAGGGAACAGTTTCCCAAAGGAGGCCATGGAGCTTCCAAGAATAAGGGCTGGGGCCGGTGTGGTGATGCACACCTTTAATCCCAGCACTTGGAGGCAGAGGCAGGCCATCTCTGTGAGTTCGAGGCCAGCCTGGTCTACATAGAGAGGCCCTGTCTCAAAAAAAGAAAAGAAAAAAGAAAGGAACAATAAAAGAGTGGAGACTGGGCCGGGTGGTGGTGGTGGCAGCGGCGCTGAGTGGATCTCTGTGAGTTCGAGGCCAGCCTGGTCTACAGAGCGAGATCCAAGACAGGCACCAAAGCTACATGGAGAAACCCTGTCTTGAAAAACCAAAAAACCAAAACCAAAAACAAAAAAACAAAACAAAAAAGTAGGGCTGGGATGAGAGCTCACAGCAAGCAGGATTCCGAACACTGACCACAGAAGTGTAGAGATAGAGTCTGGCTCCCAAGTAAGGGAGTGCCTGTGAGGCCAGCATGGGCCCTAGCTGCCCCTCCAGGATATCGCCATGTGATCCAGGCTGATAGCACCCTCAAGGGGTGGTAAGTGAAGAAGACAATTCCAAATGGTGGCTTCCAAGCCTGGAATAAGACCTGATGAAATATGAACGAACTGTCTTCTTTTTAACTAATTAATTATTCAGCCATTAATTATTCAGCCATTAATATGAATGGGCTCATGAGCTGAATTCAGTTCTAAAAAAAAAAAGTTCTATTTTGTACTCTAGAGGGTCACTGAATGTAGCTTTAAACTTGTGGCATGAACAGGCATGTGCATACCCATATGTACTTGCCTGCATGTGGGTACAAACACATACACTAGACAGTATCATGTACCCAGTGGGCACGGGACACTGACCGATCCTGACTGGTAGGTGAAGGTGCGTCTCCGATGCAGGCAGCTTCTTCGGATGCACACCAGGGCTAAAAGGGCAGCCAGGATGGTGAGGCAGGTGGCAGAGATGGAGCCTACGACAGCCAGGACCAGCTGCTGGTCAAGGCCCTCTTCAGCCGCCCGGCTCTCTTGAGCTGGGCCCTCGCTCTGCAGCCCTAGACACAAAGGAGGACAGACTGTGGAGATAGCCTGGGTCAGGGAACCTAGAGGCCACCATGGGACCCCACAGAGGGAGAGACTGGAGATCCTGGTACCACGCTGTGAGGAGGCGTCACGGATGACTGGAGTTCAGGGCTTGGGGAAGCAACTAGAATAGTTTCCCAGGTAGGAAAGTCAGGGCTTGCGATGCCTTTGCTCCAAGTTTGGAGGTGAGGTGGAGGGGCGCATGCAGCCTCGGGGGCCTTAGAAAGAGTGCAAGGGTCTGTTTTCTCACCATTGCCCAGAGTGGACTCCTCCACGGTGTTGCTCCAGTCGCCGAGACCCTGCACACTGGCCCGCACACGGAAGAGGTAGCGTGTGCTGGCATTGAGGCCACGGACGATGGTGCTTGTCTCCTCCGGCCTGTCTACATCCATCCACTTTGGGTCTCCTGAGCCCCCAGCCACCTGAATCTCCACAATGTACTTGGATATAGGACCAGATGGAGCCTCGGGATGCTGCCATGTGAGCTGGATCTCAGAGTCTGAGAGGGCCTGGGCATGGAGTTTCCTGGGAGCTGGAGGCCCTGGGGAGGGAAGAGAGGGAAGGAAGGGATAGGTTGAGCGGGGCTATTTAGCTGTGAGGAACGATGCATTTGTTCTAACGTGTGCTCTTCTTTGTGGATCCCGGCACAGGAGCCACAGGCTACCTTCCCCTGGCTGGGCTCATCCCCATCCCCAGGTCACCTCCACCTCCAAGCTGCTTCTTCCCTTGCATCCCAAGTCCTCTCCATGTCCTCAGTAGCTTAGGCTCCCTCCACCCTCACCCACGGCCCTGTTCTTCACACGAGTCATCATTTCCTCACACATCCCCCCGCCCCACATGCTCCTGGTGACGGTATATCTTCTATCTCCCCCACGCCTCCTGGGTTCGCTCCATGTCCATCCGGTCTCTTGTAACCTCCCTTCTCCCTAGCCCATCATTCCCGCAGTGGACCTACCGCTGGGGGGCAGAAGCACGTGTGCAGGGGGTGAGGCGGGGCCCAGGAGGGTGCAATGATACAGTTGCACATCCAGCTGGTAGTGGGTGCCCGGCGTGAGTCCAGTCAGGAGGGCGGTGCGGGCCTGGGGGGATGAGATGTTCTCCCGCCTCTCCTGTCCCCGGGCCGCGTCCCACAGGCGCAGCAGGAAGCCGTCACCCAACAGTGGCACCGAGGGTAGGGACCAGCTCACTCGTAGCCTGTCGGGACCCTCCACGTGCCAGCCCTCTAGCCACGGCTGCAGCAAAGGCTCTGTGGCCAGAGGTTAGGAAGGGTCAGAATCATTCAATGGGTCCTTGGGGGCTAAAGGGGATAATAATCCCCAGTGGGGCAGGGCTGGGACGACCTCCAGTGGGAAAGGCAGAGGTCTTTGGGGGTAGACCAAGACATATTCTGAGTGGGCACGGCCATAAACCCCGGGGGAACAGGAAGGGAAGACTCTTGGCTTCTTACCAGGACAGTCAGTGGTCATTAGGGTAGAAGGCCCCCAGGGTCCCTCTCCTCCTTCCCCTGGCCGGCTCAGCTGCACCCGAACACTGTATCCTGTCTTCGGCTTCAGGTTCATTAACGTCACGTTTTCACTGGGATCCACTGGGGGTGGGGTGGGCCACACACATCACTAGGTCCCAACCGTGTCCCGGGGCCACCATTCCCCCTTAGCCCCCTCTTCTTTTTGAATGACCTCCTCCCTCCCTTTCTGTTTCCACCCTATCCCCTCACTACTACACACCCCTCCACCACCTAACTCAGACCCCACTCACCCACAATAGCAGACCAGGCGATCATGCTGTCCTGGGGCCGATAGTGCAGGCGGACGGAGGAGATGGGTCCATCCCCACCAAAGGAGACCAACGGGGAGACCACGAGCTGACGGCTCTGCCTGGCCAGGAGCCGAGGCGCAGTGAGAGGCACTGGGGGTACTGCCAAAAAACTGGGAGGAGTCAGGGTCCGGGAGGAAGGGAGCGCTCTGGGATCTGGAGATTATCTAGTTTGGTAGGGGGAGACCAAATTCAGCCGATGACTGGGATGGCCAAGGCTCAGAGAAAGCGGTTCTGGTCTCCGGGAAGCTTGGACCACAAGGACTGGACCATAAGGATGGAGGCATCTCAAAAGATGCCAGGGGAGGGTGTGATGTGACCATATGGAGGCTGGGAAGCAGCTCCCTGTCCTTGCAATCCTGGGTAGAGAGAGGCTGGGATGCGAGGCAGGGACCACCAAGGTGTCGTGTGTTCCCTTCCCTCCCCTTCAGCATTCAACCTATTGATTTGTTTGAAAGACAGAACATGCCAGTGATGAGGTACCTGCTCCACACTTGATGCTTGTTATGTATAACCAGTAATTCTCACAGCCCCTGGGTCACGAACAAAGAAATTGGGGCTCAGAGACATCGCACAGCTTGCCTAAGGACACGCAGCTAGGGGAATTTGAACTAGGTCTGTCTGATCAGGCTACCTCAGATCAATCAGTTCTACCCTAAAGCAGTATTTGTGTTTCTGCCTGGCTTCCTCCACAGTCACTGCCCCTATTCCGGCCTGTTTTTCTCTCTAGATTATCGCATTAATGCCTAAACAGGTTCCTTGGCTTCTTGCAGACTGACTTTCCCAGAAAGCATAAAAGGAAAGAAAGGAGAAGGGGAGGGATGGAGGGAGGGAGTAAGGGAGGGAGGTGGAGGAGTGTGGAGGATGCAGCGTGGTCAGGTGGTAGCAGTGTGTCAGGGGCAGGTACAGATCTGGGGGAGATGAATGTTCAGTTTGGGTCCTAAGGAGGCCCCAGTGCCTATGGCTCGTGCAGGGGATCAGAGTCCAGGCGAAGCGGCTGGTATACGATGGGCCCCTGAATATCTCTCTCTCTCTCTCTCTCTCTCTCTCTCTCTCTCTCTCTCTCTCTCTCTC